TATTTATATACAAGCAAACAAAGCTATCTAATTTTGATAATATTACCAAATTTTATATTCATAATTATAAATTTATTAGGATTATATATAATATTTTAAACTAATATATTATTATTTAATTCAATAGTAGAATAAATAATTATAATAACTTTGCAAGCTTTAGTACTTTAAATTATTATATTAAAGTATCTTTGCTTTAATATATAATATATCAAAGATTATATTATTTATATAAATATAAAAACTTCTATATATTTTTGATATAGCAAAATCTTTTAGTTTTATCTAAAAAATAGAGAAAAATAATAACATATATAAAATTTTTTGTAAATATCTTTAAAGTTATATAATTTTGTTTTACTTGTTTTTATTTATTATCTTTAGCTAAAAATTATTTATATTTAGTTTTTCATAAAAGCAAATATTGCAAAAATCAGTTTATATATTAATCTAGCAGTATTAATAAATAATAATATTATAATATTGTATGATATATTTGTATGATATAGAATTATATAATTTATATATTTTATAATCTTTATTTTTAAATATTATTAAAAAATTTTATTTAATTGATAATCTGTAAGTTATCTGAAGAAAATGATCTACAATTACTAAATAAATATGATGCATTTTAATTAATAAAAAACTTACTATAGAAATATAAAAATTTTTTATGTATTATATGTTCTCAAAAATCTACTTGCAGTATAAAATCAATTATATACATACGTACTATTATTCACTCTAATAATTTTTCACTTTTTAGCTTCTTTATTTATTCTATAAATTTTTTTTTGTTCTATAAATTTATAACTGATGATCTTATCTTAGTATCAAAGGATCAGGATAATCTAAATCTCAAGTAAATCTAAAAATAAAGCAGTACAAAAAAAAAAAACCAGCTCTAGTTATTTTTATACAAGTAATTGTCCAAGTAACTGTTCAAGAAAATTCAAGAAAAAAACCTTACTCATAGCTTTAAGCTAATAAAAAAATCTGAAAATTACTACAAAAGATATTATATCTGAAGTTCTTTCTTACACTTGCTACTAAAGGATCTTGAAGCTCCAAAATATCTAGAAAAAAGTTAGTAATAAGCAAAAAATCAATAACTAAATATAAACCAATTCTGGTTTAATGCAAAAAAATATTAAATCTCTAAAAGATCAAAGCCAAGATCCTAAGAGTAGAGCTTGGTATATAGAGATAAAAAAACTGTTAAAAAAAAAGCTAAATACTAATATCAGATAGGTAGAACTTTTTTTTATCTTTTTATTTTGTTTTATTTATTAGTTTTATTCTTATATTTTTCTTTTTTTCTTCTGAGCTAAGGTTTGGGTAATATAAAACTCATGGTTAGGTAGATTGTCAAGCTTTTCTATAACTAAAGTCTAGATTTTTTTTACTTTAGCGATCTTACTTTTATTTTATTGATCGGAAGTAGATTATAAAAATGCTCTCAGCTAGCTAGGCTTACATACAAATCTCTAAACTACTATATTCCTGTACAAATAAAGATTCTCTCGATCTGTCTCATTATTGCAGTAAAAACTACGGCCGAAGCCCAGAGTTTTTACGCTAGAGTATGACCCAGGAGCGACCTGCATAAGTGACAATTTTTCTCCTTCCGAGATCCTTAACTTACTGAGAATATGAGCCCTGGACATCAACAGATAGAAGTACCGACCTTGTCAGAATCACCGCTCTACAATAGAGTGCTGCCAATCTGATGACACTTTCTTGTAAAAAAGTAAAAAAGAAAAAAAGAGGTAAGGGCAAACCGAAAATGGGGAAAGTAAAAAAAGAAAACAAATAAAAAAATGACCAAAATATAAAGGAATCTAAAAAACTATTCTAAAATCTAAGAGAACTTGTTTACAGATATAAAAACCTGCTAACTAGGTGAAAAACTATCTACATAGTTATAGAAATCTATACATAGAGCTATCTGACAAAAAGAAAACTAAGAACTACAATGCACTTTAACCTGTACCAAGAGCTAAAAATTATATGCATATGACTTCGGAATACTGCATATCTCTAATATATCTCTCCAGTTTACAATTCTCATAAAATCTACCTCGAATCCTAGAATGCTGATTTTAAAGCCTCAACACGTGATTGTCAGTTTTATTTATACTGAGCCGCTCTTTCCAGATTACGAAATCCTCTAACAGTCTTTAACGTCTTGCTTCTTCGTTATACGAGATTAAACAGAGGGTTTTCTCTATAGTCTACTGGCATCATTGGAAGCTACTCTCTTGGGTCCATCGCATAGAGCCTTCATTCCTGTACAGTCATAGCCGATCTAACACAGGACTTCCACGTACTTTAATTTAACCCAAATAGAACTTTCTCCTTACATGTGATTGTTGTATTTTTCATTCATCATATCATAACTTGAAACCTTCCGAAAATAAAAATGTAAACAATGCCGATCTTTTGGAGGAGGTAGCCAAATCTCCTACTTTTTGTCAAAAATTATGAAAAAAGAAAATAGCAGACGAAAAGTATAGCTTTGCGAGTTTTCCAACCAAAGAGTGTTATTTTAAGAGTTCTTCATAGCCTTCTGTTCCCAAAATAACTTGAGTTTTCCTTCTACTTGCTGTTCCCAGAGACTCCTTCAGTTTGGATGCCAAATGCAAAAAGGAGTCCGCTACAGAAAAAGACAAAGCTTGACCCCTTTGCAAACTGTCCAAAACACCCACTCCTCAGTATATCACGTTTAAGACTTCGTCGACAACAGTTCGTAGTAAGAAGACTTCAAGTTATTTGTTCACTTCTAGTCTTGAGTCTTCAACTTGCTTTCAGAGACTAGTTGGTACAAGTGATCATCAAGGAGAGTTGCCGTTGACTAAAGTCTAGATTCAATATATATAAAAAGATATGTATTAATATATTATTTTTATTTATTTGATTTATTCTGATTGGCTTATCTTTCTGTAAATTGGCAGATCTTAATACATTAGATATGACAACCCTAGCATTCCCCGAAAAAAATGTAGCTGCATATTTGGTAACACAAATAAAAATCATTTAATTGGTAGTTACACAATTAACAACTATATTTATATAAAATGAAAGTGTTCAAATTATATAACAAAAATTTAAATTTTACTGTTGCTTAATATGAAAATTTATTTTATACTATCATTTTTAATATGAATTATATCAATATTTCAAATAGATATTATCTAATACCAAATTTAATTGATCTTTAAACAACTATCAAATACATTACATGTGATCTATTCCCATTCAATTTTGCATATAGTTTTTTTTAATATTTCTGTTTGTTTGATAAAACTTCCATACTATTAAAAAAAAATTATACCATTTATGAAAATCTATTTAATCATAAAAGATTTATTTTTAATCCCAATATAATGTATTGTGATTAAAGTTCTTTGATGTTCTTGGCATTGTGTGTCGATTATCAAGAGTTTTAATATCGACAATCATTTTTTCAAGTAGTTTAAAGTTTGGATAAATATTTCGTAACCACAAATAACCTTTAGATTTGCTATGTGATTGCTTAGCATGTTTTTAGTCTGGAAATATAGGAGTTGATTATTGTACAAGTTATACGATAAATAATAATTGTTAAATAAATTTACCTTATTTAATATGTTATTTAAGTGATCCAGACTTTGATTATAAATTTCTTGTTCTCTATCACCTTCTATTGCATATTCATCATCTTCATCGGCATTGTTATCCTCTATTGCATAATCGTCTTCATATTCAATAATTGACTCTCTAATTGTTGAGATTTCCAAAACTTTAGGATTTTGAAAACAAAAAGGATTTACAAATTCACCTTCATATGTAGTGATTATAGAATAATCTCCATTACATTGAACCTACAAATTTGTAAATAAATAAATAAGTAATGAATAAACCAATTTATAATAATAAATTACAATATATATTATACCTGTTTAAAAAAATCAATGTCCACTTCACCAACAGAATTAACTAAATGCTTGCATAAGAAAAATCTACTTTTCATATATGACAAGCATGTACATGTCTATTGATTCAGGTTTGTGGAATATAATTCTTTAGTATTTAAGGTTTTTTTTTCGAGCTTTCTCCATTCATGCTTAAATTCTTTTCTCTATAGTACAGTTGATACTGTCTAAATGTATACTGCATACTGTCTAAATGCATAATTTTTTAAAAAAAATTAATAGTAATATGCATTTAGACAGTTAATTTTCTGATATCTGATTGGTTAATACTGTATAAATGCATAAAATTAATTTTTTTTGTCTTTCCCGACTGTATACATTTAGACAGTATCGACTGTACTATATAGCGGCCCTGTTGCAATAAATAAATTCAGTGCGATTGTTGATTAACAACTCTTGTCACTAATATATAACACAAATGATCAATTTGCGGCTTGTGAAATTTATACAAATAGTCATGCTTAATGTGTCACCAATGCGACTCTATAATCATTGTCATTTTAATGTGACTAATTTTACTATTTGTAGCTCATGCCCACAAGATCCATCTTTTTTAACAATACCAATTATTCCAAAGATAGATCCAAAGATCGATTAAATTATTCTCTTTACAAAAAGAAACCATTTCTTTAATACAATCTTCCCATATAACTTGCGAACTCATATAATATTCACCATTAGACTTCGGTAATAGTATATGTCAAATATAATGAAGTTCAGCAAGATCAATAACTTGTTTTTTAAGGTTTGATGGACAAAAAACAAATATTATATGATTATTAGACCTTTTCTAGCAAGGATCAATAGCAAAACATTCTTGATATGCAACAATCAGATCATATGAATAATTTGAAATTGGTTGGTTTGATGCTACTCTTTGTTTTATCACCTGTAAAATATGCCAGGAGCATAACTGTAAACATACATTTGGCCATACTTTCTGAGTTGCATTTATTTCACTGAAGTCTTTATCCATCAAATGAAAAGAAAATTTACCAATTGCCTATCTTTTAATTCACTTATCTATTGAATTAAAATTGTCGTAATATCACTGCTTTTATCTGCAGCAATTAACAGGTAGCTTATAGGAAAACCAGTTTCATCGATCACGCCCATAATCGCATATAATTCCTATCCTATTTTGTTAGTGCTATAAGTTGCGTCTATTTGAATTGCATCAAAATTATTACGTGAAAGCTGATAAAAAAGTACAGTAAGAAATCTAAGAGCTAGTGTTGGAGTAGTTATATCAATGATAATTTTCTGATTATATTCATTCAATAAAAGTTTTGTTGATATAAAAGGATCAGAATTGTGATGGTACATTTTTTGAGATTCTTTTGACTACCAAAAATATGTTTGTTGAACCGTAAGATTTTCATATCCTTTGAGTTGTTTTTCTCTAATTTGTCGATATAATTCTGGAACCAAATAATTAATATTATTTCTGATAAATTCACGAATTTCCAAAGTCGTTTCTACATGAATTGAATGTGGATGTAGCATTAAATGAGAGTATTCAATTTTGATAATATTTAAAGATTCCAGAATTTCAATTTTAATAACGCCTTCACAATTATACCATTCAATTCGTATAGAAGTATCTCTATGAAGTTCTAGATTTGGATGTTTTATTTGACGCTTCGCCCGATCAATATAGCAATTACAATGATAGATAACCATTAATAAATTTTTTTTTGATTCTTGTTTTTATAAATCCACCTATAACCATCTCCATTTTCAATAAATTTTGCTGTACGACGAGCAACTTCAAGGTAAAGTTTTTCATTATTATTAAAATTTTCTTTATTCTTATCTAATATTGTAGTAATAAGAGAGGACAACTCGACATCAAAACTAATCACCAATTCGACATTATCATTTTTATAAAAGTTATTAGTATTTTCCAAGAAAATCAAAGAGTTATATACAAATTCATCAATGTCTGAGTAAGTAATTGTGGCTTCATGTCTTTGGTTATTATTTTTAGTCAATCGAGAGGTGGTTCATTTATCTCTACATGATTGACACCAAACTAAGGCTTTATTATTTTTAAGAAATTCAGTAATTTCTTTAAGCATATGACAATTATCACATGTTTTATAAGATGGAAAATCAACACTTTTACTGGTCATTATCAACTGTTAAAAAAGTTACTAGCAAGTCGACAAAAAATTTTTGAGTAAAAAAAAAAAAATTTTCATATTTATTCGATTCTGAAATATCAGAGATTCAAATTTTGATCATATTACATTGCAAGGTACGTTCATCAGATTTATTACATTATATGCTTTATCATTATAATTTATTAAATCAATTAGTCAATAAGCACTTCTGGCTTTAGATAGCTCTTTTCAAATAAATGTAAAATAAGAAAATAATGCACATCTCATAGTAATTGTGCTAAAATATTATAGTTTTATAAATTGAATTATTAAATAAATAAAAGCCAGATGGCAAATATAAATACCACAAGGCTTTAGTACATCTCACTATAAGTCTCTTAAAATGATAAAATTTGAATTTTATCGTTATTGTCTCATTTATTAAAATCATTAATAGTTACCATTATGTGCATTATTACATGATGTATAAAATAAAATAATTGTTAATTATATAACCACCGATTAAATGATTTTCATTTGTGTTACCAAACATGCAGCTATATTTTTTTCGGGGGAATGCTAGGGTTGTCGGGGTAGTCTGTTTGATCGATAGTGTCACATGTGTCCGTCTGTTCGTTTCCGCTTATCTGATTGGCTACTACTTATATACTTATTGATACTTATGTATTACATTATTATAAGCTTACGTATATAATATTACCTAGAAAAAATTGCATATTCTAGACAATATTCCGGTAATACATATTAGCAGATTTTCCAAATTGGGCCTTTTTACTAGTCCCAGATTTAATAAAATAATAGTAACAGTAAACTCATACAGTCAACTAATCGATCTATCCAATACAGAAAAAATTAAAATTTTGTAAGTAGTGCACACTTGTAAACAGTTGCACAGAAAAGTTGCTAAATTGTGTCAGTATCCGCACAGTAAATATTAACTAAAAAATTAACTGGGTCCGTCCTACAAAGTACTCTAAAACTTAAAAATATAATATAAAAATTCATGTCTAACTAATTGCCCACCTCTTAACTGTAGAATAGAGATATTGTTTGCTTATTACATAGCTAGATTTTAATTCAATGTTAGCATAACATAGTTATTACAGTATAATGATCTAACAATTGTTTCGCCCAACTAATTTTTTTTATCAGTTTCTATTGGATATATAGAAATCCTACTTTTGATTGAATAAAACAAATTTTATTAGACTTTGAAACTTTTGTTAACAGTACGCACGTTAAACCAATAAAACATATAGAATACGAAAAGCAGTTTTATAAATAAAATTTTAAGCTATACAAAAAAATTTTTTTGGTTTTTATAATATAGAACTGTTTAAACAGACCTGGCCAATTGGCTTTTTTTTTTAAATTTTATATATAAAATTTTATAAATTTTTTTAAAAATTTTTTTAAAAATCTGCCTAGTTATTAAAATATATAAAAAAAATTTTTACAAGTTTTCAAATTTTGATCTAATTAGATTATAAAAACCAACAAAATTTTTTACATAATATTTTATTAAGATTTTTTTTTTTTGCTTTAGCAATCCTTTTTTTATTATTTAAATCAATATAAAATACAATAAGTATATAATATACAAATAGAAGCTAATCTATCTTGTAATCTATATATGTTTATACTAATAAAAAATCATTTGATCTATTAAACAAGAATCTATAAATAGATTCTGTAAAGAAGATCTAGGTATGACTTATCTAGTAGATCATTTAACCTCATCTGGAATCCTTAACTTATTAAGAATTTAAACCTCAAAAGTTTACAGTAGATATCCATCAACTTTATCAGAATTACTGCTCTATATAAAATATCATCAATCTGATAAAATATTTTCTAGCAAAAATTTCGAAGAGCAAAATAGAATAATAGAAAATATGAGAAGAGAGATATTTGAAAAAAACAAACAAAAAGAAGATGAATAAACCAATATAAGAAATCTAAAGTACTAATATAAAACTAAAGAATCTATTTAACAAATTAGTATCTGCTAACCAGAATACTTAACTACATGATTGTAGTATTTACTAGAGTTGTAATAAAACTAAATTGTGCTAGTAAAACTAATGATTATCTAAATTCTAATTGACTATTAAATGCAATAGCCAATTAGATTTTAGATAGTTACCAGTTTCACTAATACCATTTAGCCTCACCAGCAACTCTAGTATTTACATATAATTCAATTGATATTAAGAAAACCAAACTAGTTATATTTTTACTTATACTAAGATATAAATTAGAGAATAACTAATTTTTACCCAGGTGATGTCATCTGGTATTATAAAATTGTTAAAAATTAAATAAATTTAGAGTTAGGGTTAGAGTTAACTTAGATTTAAAATAAGAGAATCTAAATATAAGGTAGATATGCCTAATTTGATGCAGGTAAGTTTTACGACGAATATCACGTGATATATCAATCAGAATCAGATAATTTTGGTACCATTCGATTCGCCTC